CCATAAAAAAATTCAGTCTCGTGAGATCCATCGGGACCCTTTCACTCCTCACCCACCCTGACCGGTTCCTGTAACCGACGACGTTATGTTCCTTAAATGAACTTGCTCACCAAATTAAACAAGAAAGGGGAAAAAAAGTAGAAATAACTCCCCTTTTACGACTCTCGTCCCTTAAGTACTTTGGGATAGAGTTGGGCGACTGGATGGAGCTGAGCGCTTACTGGCCAGATGCCCTTCCTGACACCAGGTGGAGTTCATAGCAGATATTTCTTTCTTTGTGCCCGGGGGGAGAGAAATACCTGCCTCTACCTAGGATTGAACTCTCAACCTTCCCAACGAGAGGCTATCAGTTTCATCCCTAGGCCACCACGCCGCTCCAAAGAAGGTAGAAATGGAATATTTAAAATGAACAGGCAGCTGAATTCTTGCTGAGAAAAGCCCCAGATCCAGCTGGGTTTCCTTATTCCGTTCCTGGGGCTTTCGTTGAGTTCCAGATTGAAGTCAAAAATGTCAGACTGGCAGAGCCACAACCACAGAATTGAAACCCAGTCTCTGTTTTTGGGGAGTGGTATAATTTTATTAAACACTTTATGAAAGAAACCAATTCAAATCGATATAAAAAGTGAGAAAAAAGGCAGAAGAAACCAAAGAGAAAGCTAAATAGGCAAGAAAAGGGAACAAGAAACAAATTATTTGTCTTCTCACCTTTCCTGGCAAATCCCTCTGGCGCCAACCGAGCTGGGCTTTCGCTCGCTCCCCGGAAGGAATCCTTTGGTGGCGGCTTTCCATCTTGGGTCGGGGCCAGGACCATAAAGGGAAGCCAGAGTTAAACTGCCAAATTTGCCCCGTCCTCAGGGCTGCAAGGAAGGAGGAGCAGACGGAACGGGGCTCCCTCTACGGGAGGGGATTCACACCCAGAGGGGCCTCCCAGGATCCCACCTGCTGGTCTCAGAAACGACCCAGCGGCCTCCGGCAAATGACCGGACTTCCTCCAGGGACCTGGTGGGTGAGGTTCCCTGGTTGAGGGGGCCGCAGGAGCGCGAAGGAGCCCAGGGCCTGATTAGCCAGTGGGATCCCTGCTTGGATGGGGGTGGAGGTACGGCCGGCCGGCTTCCTTCTGCTTCTCAAAGAGGAGCCATCAGAACGGGGGGTGGGGGTGGGGAAGGCCAGGAAAAGAGCTGTGGGGAATCTGGGCAGGGGCTGAATCCCGGGAAATGCTGAGCTCGGTCCAGGAAGAAAGTGCAGGGGGGGGGCAGGACTGGCCTTTCGGAGGGCCCCGCCTGGCCCTTTAAATCGAGACTTCCTGCCCTCTAATGGCTGAAGCCACCCATAACCCCTTCTCCGCTCTTAAATTGCTCTACTCCCCCCGTCCCTCCTCCTGGAAGGTTCCTGCTTTGTTTCTGGAGTGGGGGGGTCGGGGGGGGTTCAAGCGGTGGAACTGCTCACGGCCCCCAAGAGAGGCGTTCAGGTCTTTCAAGGTAAGCGGCTCTGGCGCTTCTCAGCGACTCTCTCTCGGGGGCGGTTGAGCTCACGCTTTTCCTGACTCTGCGGACTTTTCAAATTGTAGCTGTTATGACCTAGAAGTTGAGGTGTTTTTTTTTTCTTCTTCCCTGTTTTGAAATTATTTTTACTTTGTAGAACTTTCTGCCAGGAACATAAAATACAGAGGAATTAAAACAAGCTAACATTGGTGGACAAGTTGAAGAAATATTTCTGTTACACTTTTTTATCATTTGGGAGGCAAAAGCTTTAAACTTGGTGATTAAATTATGTTTTACCTGCTTTTCTAATTCAAACAATTGTGTATTGGTGAAGAACAGGGACAAAAATGTGGCCACCCAACCCATAAGCATGATAGTTCTGGGTTGACCTGCATTCTAATTCTGGGTTATTTGTAGCAATGCCAGCCCCTCGCTCTTGTGAGTTTCTCATCCTTGGGTGTCGTTCATTTGATTGTGGACGGCAGAGAGCCCCCAAACTTTTACTAAGTGAGAAAAAGTACATTTTCTGGCTACCTTCTGTTAGGCTGGAAAGATTTGTGAACTGTCAGAATGATAGTTTATAAAATGACACAGGGAGCTTCTTACTACCAAATGAGAGAGATTAAAAACACTGGTTTAAAGGCCAATGCAGTTAAATGTGAGCTAATACTGATGACTCCTTGTGCTTGTAGCCGCTGTATCCAAAGCAAAATTGGGTTTCCTAATTAAATTGGCCTCCTGGGACCATAAACCCCGGTCAACCACTTTGATTTGGCTCCATGCTACCTAACTGACATTGGCTCTGAGCCGCCACCACACAGATTCATTCCTCTGAGACGGTCCGTTCCCAGCCAGGCCCTCCCGATACTGCAAGGCAGCCGTGGCTGCTAGGATCGCAACTCTGCCTCCCAAGTAAAGGACTTTGCATTCGCCTGTGTCCTGGGCCCACTCACAACAACGTCCACTTCTGCCTCTGCCCTCCGTCTGAGCCGAACTCTCCATCGTCTGAGCTACCGACGGAGGAGCAGTGGCTTCCCTTGTGGCACAAAGACCCACCCCTCCCTCCGCCTGCTGTGGGTCTCAGAGGCGGCTTTTGGAGCAGCCGGGATCTGCCTCACAGACCTGCTTTCTGGCACGTATCTCTCCCCAGTTGGCTAGTGAGTGTCTTTGAGCGGCTCCTCCTTTCTTCTGCAGAGTAATTTACAATCTCCATGCCTGAATGGGGAAGGAGAGCCCTAGTGGACTCTGTCCCAAAGCACGTCCAGCGCCAAAGTTTGTGCAGAGGTGCGACTCAAATGCTCTCCAAGGGCTGCTCTTTGAAGTAGAGAGCAAGGAGCTGCATTTTAAAAGGAGGAGGAGGAGGAGAGCGAGAGCCACAATCCACTCGAACCCCGGCGGCACCGTTCGGATGTGCTTCAGAAGGTGGTGTAGAAACTGGAGGGGGACCAGCCAAGTGGGCAGCCTAATACAGCAGGAAAGGGGCCGGTCCCTGCAGGAAACAATGAGAGGAAGTGCTGAAGTCCCATCACCCCAACAGTCCTGGATCCACAGCTTCCTGTCAGAAAAATTCCAAACATCAGATTCACCGAAAAGGAATCTGGGAAGGGAGGAGATCGTGTTTTGGGTTTTCACGTGCAGGAAAATCAAATCTGGGCATCTGGAAAGAGAAAGTTGTGCACCATCAAAGGATCTAATAAAAAAGGTCTATTTAAAAAAAAAACCCGCTGTAGCACTTTTCTATTCCAGAAGTGCTTTTCAAATCAAGACGGATTTAGAACTCCATCCACACAGAAAACAAACAGTAGACATGACAGTAAGAGAACCTGTTGGAAAACCCCCGAAGAAGATGTGACAAGCAGGTGTGACTCTGAAGGGAAAATGCCGAGAGGAGGGTCTTGGTGAGCCCGAGGCGGTAAAGAACAAACCGGAGAAGCCGTGGACAAGTTGGGCCTCTTCATAGCTGCTCCTGATCTCTTGGTCTCAGGGTCAACCTCCGTGCCTGGTGGCCGCCCTCGGGGAGCATCGCAAGAGGCTCTTCAGGCGGTTGGGGTGGACTTTGCAGCCAGCTCAGAAGTTGCCTCTCTGCTCGCCGGTGGGGACCCTCTTGGTCCTCTGGGTGCAAGACCGGCTGCCTGCCTGGTCTCGGAAGGCCTCGTCTCCAGGAGGGCTGAGATCTGGGGCTGGGAAGAAAAGGGGGGATTAATTCAGGTCTTGGGGTTCTAGGGGGAACGAGGTTCTGGACTCCCACGGACCCAGGAGTTTGGCTCGCAAGACCTTGGAGCAAGAGGCTGTGAAGATTAACGGAGCCTGTTAAAGGTCAACCTGCTGAGTTTGCAAAAAGGGCCGATTAGCCCACAGCCAACAGGAAAAGAAAGCACGTGTGTGTGTGTGTGTGTGTGTGTGTGTGTGTGTGTGTGTGAGAGAGAGAGAGAGAGAGAGAGAGAGAGAGAGAGAGAGAGAGAGAGAATCGGGTGGGGGGACGAGCCGGGAGCCCGAACAGGAAGGGAAGGATCAGCACTTTTGGAGTAGCAGAGTGAAAATCTGGGAGAGAGCAAGACGAGAAGGAGGTAGGCGCCCGCTAAGTTGGCCCTTTGGGTGTTTCTGGTTTTATTTCACACCCTGGACAAGGAGCAAGACTTTAGGGGCGACCCTGAGCAAGGAGGGGAGAGCAGCCTCTCGCAGGGAGGCCAGGAAGGCTGCAGGCGCCGCTGCCCACTCTTGGACCTGGGGGGGGGGGACCAGGCCCATGGGGGGGAGGGGGGCCCTGCAGCGGCACCAGCCCTCTCCCAAAGCCCCCCCGTTTGAGCGGGTGGGTGGGGCCTTTTGCGAGGAGGGGAGGGGCCTTGGCCACCTTCCCCGCCCTTTCCTCCCGCTGGCCCTCAAGGTGCCCCTGGCAAGGCTGAGGCTGGAGCACCGGCTGGGTCAGACCACGCGGGCATCTGGGAGGCATGACCCTGCCCGTCTCCACCTGGCAATCACCCCACTGGGCCAGCATCCCTCCCAAGGCAACCAACAGGCAAGGAGGAACCTGGGTCTGTGCTGGGCCCGGCTGAGGCGGCCCCCTCCCTCCCAACTCCGTCCGCAGCAGCTGCCGAAGTCTGGCTGCTCTGGGAGAATCCCCGCCTTCCCAGAAGGTCAGTCCAGAGGCAGCCTCGGCCCACACTGTCCTCAAGACACTCAGGCTCTCCCTTCCGGCAGGGCCGGTGCCCAGGTTGGCTCCTTCATCGGAGAGAAACAGGGATATGTCCAGGGGGATCTGGCAGAACCGCTAAAGGGGAGTGAAGGAGGTGAACTCCCTTCCCGGTTCAGTTGATGGACTTCAGGCGCTCAGGAAACACCCCAGGTGCAGCAGTGGCCTCCTCCTCCTCCTCCTCCTCCTCCTCCTCCTCTTAGTCCTGACTGCTGATGAGGCAGCTGGGGGTGAAGTGGGGCTGGGAAGGAAGGCCGAGGCCCACCCGGTGTGGGGGTTGCCATGGAGGCCTTGGGCGACCAGGTGTTTCTGCTGCCCACCTAGACACCATGGAGCCCTCGGGAGCAGCAGCAGCAGCAGCAGCAGAAGACGACGAAGAAGCTGAGAGGAGCCCTGAAGCCGCCATGTCTGACGTCGTCCCCCAGGAAGAGCCTTTCCTCGGCCCTCCTCTTGGCCCCGGAGCAGGGCAGGCCCCGCACTGGGGAGGAGGAGAACCTGAGCTCCTGGGACAGCCGGACCCCGGCCAGTTGGCTCCACCAGCCCCCTCAAAGGCCCTGCCCTCTCCAGCTGGGAAGGAGGGAGTTATATGGCCACAGCCGCAGAAAGGTAACACACACGCACACACACACACACACACACAGCCACCACACTTCTCCCTCCCCCCTCATTTTCCAACTTTCCTTTGACTTGTGCCTGGGTTTCTTCTCTGAACTGCAAAGATCAGGCTGAACTTTGGGGGTGCTCCCTCCACGCCCCCCTCCCCCTAATACAATCCCTGGCCGGCCCGAGTGGAAGTTTGTGGTCTCATTTTCCTGACTAGTTTGAGATGCTTTTGTGATTCAGCAAACCACCATCTGCTGAATGAGAATCTGTCCCAGGCAGCACCATTCCCCATGGCTTGCAGCAAAGAAAGGAGGCTAAAGCGGCACATAAAATCGAGTAAAAATAATATATGGATAAATACTTTTATCCTATGAGACGGGAATGGTGCTTAAATGTTTACTAGCGTTGGTGCTTTATTTTGGGGTTGATTCCCTGTCTTTCTACCCTGGAAACCCTCAAGGCTCCCAATGAGATTTATGACAAAAGGAGAATATTGAATTAAATGGGCAGAAGGGAATAAATTCTGCAGCGGAAATGAAGTTCCTCCGAGGATGGGAAAGGGAGGCCCGAACGTGCAGGAGGGGGTCAGGCAGCCCGCTGGGAGGTGTGGGAACGTTATTCAGAGCTTGGGGGGGGGAGGTCCTGACCCCTCTTGCTGGGCAGCATGCTGGGTCCCTTGGAGGAGGAGGAGGAGGAGGAGGAGGAGCCTCCTCAATGGGGGGGATTCAAAATGTTTTTATGCCCCAGTCCTGTGGGGGCGTGGCTGGGTGGGCGTGGCAGGGGGAGGATATACTGCAAAATCCCCCTCCCCTCCCCACCCCACTAGCCTGCTTTCCAGCTCCCTTCTCCTGGGCAGGGCAACCCAAGGAGACCCAGCCGGTCAGCTGGGACTCGATGGGAGGCGAGAAGAGGTGGGGTTGGCGGGGCCGGTCAAAGGAGGCATTCGCCGGTTCTCCCAACGGTTCTGCAGAGCCGGTCAGAGCCGGTCAGAATCCCACCTCTGCTCCTCCTGATCTCCTTTGCAGAGGAGATTCTACTGGATGACTCGTTTCAGGAAAAAAATAGTGGTTATTATTTCACTTGCTTGTTTTCTGACGTTTTGCAATGCAAAGTGACGCTTCCTTGCTCACACCGGAGCCCCAGAGCTGCCCCAAAGGAGAGGAGACATTTTCGAAAGCACCACTGCCCTCAATGGGGGAGGGGGGAGGGGGGGGAGGGGGCTGTCCCTGGGGGCCTTTCCGCCACCCGTCACCCTGCCTTTCCCAGCTCTCTTCCTGAAGGTGACCCTGGCCAGACGGAGGACGGGCCGTACCGATCCTCAGCTGCAGGCCTATCTGCAGGGAAGACTCCGTCTCCTGGAGAACGACAGCCAACGGGCCGTGGCGGTTCTGAGTGTAAGTTCGTGGAGGCCTTTGTCCTATCGTGGATCCAGGGGCTCCTCCACGCGGTTCCCAGGCTGAGGGGGAGAGGAGCAGCGACGCCTCCGCCACGGTTTTCCTCCTGGGCACAGGCGGTGCCCCAGTGGCCTCTTCTGCCACGAAGAGCCTGAAGGTTCTCCTGAAGGGGGGCAGCTGCAGGCGGTGGGAGGGGGCGGTGGAGGCCCTCTCCGCTTCCCCTTGGTGGGGGCTTGGCAAGAGCGACAGGGGAAGCCTTCGGGGAAACCCCTGGAACCAAGGACCCTCCCCAAATTTGGGGTCCTGGAACCTTTGGCCGTGAGATCAGGGGCTGTGGACCTCCTGAACGGGGGGCCTCCCCCCTTTCTTCTTGCCCCCCCCCCCGATCCCCTCTTCTCTCCCAAAGAGAGTTAGAGGAGGTTTGGTTGTCCCACGAGATTCTGCGGAGGGCCTTATGTGGAGGTCGGTCTCCGTTTCTACACGTGGGCCATATAACCCATTCAGAAAATAAACAGAATGATTTTTTAACGTATAACATAATGGAGTAATGATTACTAAACTTAAATATTTTTAAGAAGAGATGTAACCAGGCCAGTGAAAGGCAGGACTTAGCTGCATCAGTCTGTTTTCCACTTTTGGACAGTCGTATTTGTGGCCTTTTCAAGAGAGAACAAAGGGGTAATGCAGAATTAGGCTGCCACTATGAGTTTCTTTTGTTTAAACTCAAAGATTTACTACTTTTGTTGCCTTCCTCAGGAATTGTCGGCCAGATTGCTGTCCATCCACAGTGAAGATCATCGCATTGCCATCACATTTTGGACCTTGGAGGAAGCCTGGAAGTTTATGACCTACTACTCTCTTGGTAAAGCAACACATAAGAAGATTTAGTATTTTGGTTGGCTGTTGGTGCTCTGGAAATTAAGGCATTGCTTAAGAAATACAAATGTGAAGATCCTGTTTTTAATGTTGTGCCCAATAGTGCTTCAGCTAATTTCACGCTACTCACGAAGGGTTTTCGTGAGAAGAGTTTTGGAATCCCAAACTATTCAGACAGGATCCGCCTCCCTGAGTCCAAGATCTACCGGTGGCTCCACTGCCCTGGCCCTTCTCCTGTTCTAGCTTCCCAACTTCTGAGCCAAGAAAAACGATGGACAAAATTCCCAGGGTGGTAAAATCCACCTTTCCCGGCACTGATTCCTTCCCTATCCAAGGACAGGAATATATAAAATCTGTCTTGTTCCACTGCAAGGCAAATAACTGGCGGGGGTAGGGGGTGGGTGGGTGGGTGGACTGCAACGCGGCCCTATAGCCAACACCCGCCAGTTCCATCCTTGGGGACTTTTTGCTGCTTGAAGGGCCAGAAAAGGGAGCTTCTGTTCAGAGGCCAGGAAGGGCCCCAGTTGAGGGACTGAGACCCTCAGGGCCTCCCTGAAGTTTTGCAGTATTCAGGTTGAAATGGTCAGAATCAGAAATGGCAGCAATTGTCAGAGCAAGGAAGCCTGTTTTGGGGAGCGAAGAATCCTTTTTGCACCATAAGGCAGGGCTGCCCCACGGCTCTGCCTCTCCTTGGCCTCTTGAAGCTGGGGTGGGTTGGAAACTCTCTGGAGGTCAAAGAGTTTTGGGTCCCTTGTCAAAATCTGTGGTCCTTCTAGGAAAAAAGGTGGGCTCCAGATGAATGCTACTCATTCCTAAAGAATAGGCCCCGTTGGATAACAGGAACGTTGCCTTTGACAGGTTTTTTAAGCCCCTGCCTGGAGACCCTGTTGCTGGACGACTCTTTCTGGCTCTCTTCACCCGAAGAAGCTGCTGGAATTGAGGTCCTCTTAGATGAAAGTGGCCTCCATAGGCTCTACAGAGGACTCTTAATTCAGGAAGGTACCTGGGGTTTTACCTGCACTTGCAAAACAGGGTTTTACACCTGCTGAACTGAATGAGATGCGAGCAGCAGCTTTGAGTCCTGCCGCCTCCATTCAGTGACATTGTGAGGAAAAGGTGACGTCAAATAAAGTCAAAATAAGAGGGTCTGTTGGTTGGAAGGGAGCTGGATTTGGACATGGAGGTGCCTCTGCTCTGGCTGGGATCACTCTTCTGTCTGCCTGCCTGTCTCTCTCTCTCTCTCCTTGTCTGTCTGTCTGTCTGTCCATCCATCCATCCGTCTGTCTGTCTGTCTCCTCCTCTGTGCCAAGACTTGGAACTGGTGTTTGTGTGGAGGGGCCTATTGGAGGAGTTGCATTTACACGTGGTTGGATTTGGCAACCATTACCTGCAGCGTAGTTACACTCCGTCTTAACCATGAGAGCATGCTCTCTGCGAGGCTAACCTCAAAAAATGTCTCCAGAAATTGTAATTAGCGCAAAATGTAGAAGGGCTGCTAATCCGTGAATAGTACAGGGAAAAGTACTGGACTGGGCCGTCGATCTGCCTTCATCCTCTCCTCCCAGCCCCGTATTCCACTGCGAAGAAGAAGCCTTGAGTTCTCCAAGATTCTCCCCAGTCCTCTTGGACTTCCATCTCGCAACGGGGTTAAAAAACCTGACGGAATGGGGTCGGAGGTGTTTCTGCTCTACCTGGGGAGAAAGCGCTACTTCCGTCACGGGGTCTCCCTCCTCCCTTCTCCGACCGAGCACAGGGTTATTCTCTGAGGAACGACGACCGCACCCACAATGGCAGAATGCGCCCCCCGTTTCATGTGGTGCTCCCCCCCCCCTTCAGGTGCCTATTTTGGGTTTTGTCCCGAGGACGTCGATGCAGCCGATCCAAGAGCCGTTTGCCAGGTGGAATCGGCAGCTCCAGAGCAAGTCCGGGACGGCCGCCCCACAGATGCCTCGGAGCCCCCTGTGCCTTTCCATCAGTAGGTCCCCACCTGGGTCCCCTTGCAGGCCTTCCCTCTGCCTGGAGGGGAGCTCCGGGGGTTGGGCTCCTCTCCAGCGCAGGGCGGCAGTGGGGCTGAACAGGACTTTCTTGAATTTGTAGATGGTTCCTGAAAGCAAACGCAGCATCGGACGGGTTGGCCTGCCTAACTGCGCTTCCAGCCACAGATCAAGCGGGTGAGGAGCGATAAGTAAAGTCGGGGTTTTAATTTCTGCATCTGTGACTTGAAGAGGCCCCTTCAACGTAACATGTAAATGCTGCCCATTTACTCAACCTCCTGGTGCTGTGACAGGGTTCCCCCCTCCTCCTCCTCCTCCTCCTCCTCCTCCTCCAAACCCTCTGATGATCCCCTCTCCTGCCAGAGCTGTTTGCGGGGAAATTCTGCTTAAAATATTGGCTCGGACAGGTGAATGAGAGAGAGATAGAGAGAGAGAGATGGTTTCTGGGAGGACATTAGCCAGCAGGAGGAGAGCTCAAAGGGGCTCCCTAGGCCATGGATGCAGAGCATCAGGATGATAAGTGAGGAGGTTCAAAGCTCCCTGTGGGGCTTCCAGGAACGGAGGAGGAGCTGGAGAGACACACTCCAAATCGGCTGAGAAGTAAGATGAGTGTCCTCATCCCCATCCTGGGGGTCATTGGGTGAGGCCCCTTCCCTGGCCCCAGGTGGATGGTAAACAGCCTTAAGGGGAGCCTGCAGACCCTCAGGGCCCCCCCTTCTGCCTTGCCACAAAAAGAAACCCCCCCCCATTAAAGATCTACTGCACAGTTGTGTCCTCTCCCATCCTTTGTGGTGACCCTGAAAGATCCCCGCGGTTAATAGTATCTGGAGCTGTGGAGGCACCAGGTAGCACCAGAACTGCCCCGTGGAACTTCCGGTCCCACCAAAGGGCCTCCGGGGGCCTGATGGGAGAAGCCCCGTGGGTGACCTCAGGCCTAAACTGAGGCTGGGAAAGGCCCAGATACCTTCACAGTTTCCTCCTGGGCCCCTTGTGCAAACACTCCCACCGTCACAAAGAGAAGGTTGGAGACCAGCCTCCATCCATCCAGTTTAATGGCTGTGCTGGTGGTGTTGTGGATGGGGGCACAAAACAGCTGACACCCCGCCCCTCAAAAAAAAAAAATCCCAGGAAGAGACACATCAGCTGGGGAGCCATTGCAACTAGAAGCCCTAGCTGTTTTGCCTGGAAAAAAATACTTCAGTCTGCTCTTATTTCTGGTTATTGCCGGGGATATCATAGGCTGAGAAATAAGCTCCACTTTTAAGCCGGGTGGGTTGAATGACCTCTTATTTCTAACGAGTCCTCTCTGTGAAACGTGTAACATTAAGATGAACATCCCTGGCAAGTTATGGACTTATTTGATGTCTTCTGAATTCCGTATCGTCCAGCCGCAGGATTCTCTGTCACGGTCGTCAGCCACGAAGGTGCTCTGCCAGACGAGATCAGTTTCCAAAAAGGAGATAAAATTGAAATCATGGGCTATTTCATGAGGTGCATGCCTTGGTTTGTGGGGAGGCGTCTCTCTTCGGGCCAGGTTGGCTTCGTGCAGAGCAGCTGCGTGGCGCCTGAAGGCTTCCTGGCCATTGCCGCAGAGTAAGTGCCGTTCGAGTCAATAAGGGCTTGTCGGGTGTCCCATCAGGTGAGGCAGAGAAGGTCCTTCCTGACTGGTGTGTTGGGGATAAGGAAGCAGACCTCCTGGCCACCACCTGCACCTCCTTCCCTGCCTCAAGGAAGGTGGGGGGAGGGGCCCCCGGGTGGGCCCTCAAGACAAGAACCTTTCGATGGGTCAGCGGACTTCCCTTCAAAATAATGTCGCCGACGCTTCTATCTTCTCATCTCCCATTTTTGTCCCCGCTTTTTAGATTGCTTCCTTGCTCTTCCTCCTCCTCCTCCTCCTCATTTTTGGGTAAGGATGACTTGCCCCGGAAAGCCATGTAAGTCCTAAAGTTGCCTGATCATGTTTCCCCTTTCTCAGACTCCCATGCACGGATTTTTTCAAGGACGATGGCGACTCTTTCGTGAAGGAGGAATCCCTTTTGGATAACCTGGCCAGGCTCTTGGCCCAAACTTCCCAGGAGAGCGTTTGCCGCATCTATCAAATCGGTGAGCGGGGTTTGCAGCTCCCGCCCTGTGTGGAACTAGGGTGCAAAGCTTCTGGGCGCCTCTTGGACTCTTGGCAGTTTGATAAAAAGAAAAATACAAGTCGCCGTATGAACTGCCAAGTTATGTGTTACTTACATTTCATTAGCCTCCAACTCAAGGAACTGAGTGAGCACGAATTTAAGGATTCAATCATTTGAAAGCTTCCGCAGAGTGAAGCTCAAATGAGAATGAATGCAGCTGGAATATGAATTTCTTCCGTTTCAAAGGATTTAACGGGTCATTTAAGAGAGGGAGGGAGGGAGGGAGGGGGGGAGGGAAGGAGAACAAAATCAGAGCCTGCAGGATGTTTGGCGACGACGTAAAGTTCTGATCTCCAGCTGAAACCATACTTGGAAATTTGTCATCACCAACCCAACAAATCTGTGTGTGTCCAGGCCTAAATTTGGCATCCTCCGGTAAAGTCTCCAGGGTGTTGCAGAGCTCCCAGGGTGGGAGTTCGAGTCTCTCTACAGTATTAGGCCTCCAAATAATAGTAGGCATCCAATAAGCAAAACATGGCCTGAACGATGTTCTCATTTGTCTCATCTTACAGATGCCCAGGATGACAGCGGCCTCCAGAAACCTTGTGGGCCAGGTAAAAGGTGTAAATATTCAAAACGGAGGGAACGTTTTTGTTCTTTTTTAAAGTGTAAAACAAGGTGGAGGAGGAAACACTGGGCTGGCAGGATGCATGATGGAAGCTTTACTTGGTACCTTTTATATCTGTATCTAATGAAGGTGCTTAATGCAGGCATCTAATGAAGGTTTCTTTGATATCTCGCCTAAGCAAGAAGAAGGACGTGGGGTGGCATGATAGCAGTGTCCCCATGTCTGAGGGGCTGTCACAGAGAGGACGGTGGGGGGGGGGTCAACCTATTCGCTACAGCCCCTGAAGGCTGGGCACGAAGCAACGGATGGAAACTCACCCGGAAGAGAAGCAACCTGGCACCAGCCCTGGGACTTGCAGCCTTCCTCTTTCTGTGTCTTTCAGAAATGGCCCCTTCCTCCCTGAAGGAAAAGGAGGGTCCAACTCCATGCAGAGCAGTGAGGTCACTGATGAGGATGAAGGACTTTCAACCCACCAAAGATAAGCAGCAGCAGCTTCCCACTTGCCACAGGCAGGAGCCCCCCCTTTGGCAGAAGCCGTGTTTCTCCATGCGCCAGCGGGGCACTTTGGGGCCAGACGCTCCTGATTCGCTGTTGTCGTTTTTGAATCGGGAAGGCTATGAAGACGGCTTCAGGGGCCTCTATGACCCTCCGTTGTCCTTTCTCAAGACGTCCATCCGTGGCGATGCCACGGAGGAAGAGCTGCTGGATTACTTGGCTCGAGCTCGGGCAGCGGCCAGGCAAGCCGACCTGCCCTGGGCCACGACGCGGCTCTGCTACCTGCTGGGAAGAATGAGTCTCCGGAGGTTCAAGCTGTCTCAAGCTCGGGTGTATTTTGAAGAAGCTCTGGCAACCCTACGGGGGCGTTTTCAAGACCTCCACTTGGTAGCCACTCTGTACACCCACCTGACGGGCATTTACCTGAAACAGAAGAATGTGGAGAAAAGCGCTTCCTTCCTGGACAAAACTGCCTCTTTGCTGATGGGCCTGGCCAGCGACACGGACGGGGCGGAGATGGCCCTGGAGGTCTTGAACTATGCCTTGAAAAGAGCTGTGCTCAGCCGGAGTAGAAACGCCGAGGCCAGAGCCTGCTTCCTGCTGGCGAAGCACTGCCTGCGTTTCAAGCAGGGGCAGGAGCCAGCCCCCTTCCTGGAGAGGCTGCAGCAGCTGCTGAATGCAGGCCAGGGGCTGCCCAGTGGCAGGGGGTCCGTGGACTGCTACTTGAAGCTTGGCCAACTCTACAGCCAGCAGTGCCTGCCCCACCTTGCGCTCAGCTGCGCCAAGGTTGTGTCTTCCCGCAGCTCCTGTTCTCTGCTGGAGCTCTTCAGAGGCATCGAGTTGGTGCTAAGGAACGCCTCCAAAGTCCTCAGTCCCACACCTGGAGGACAAACAGACCCTCCACTCATGGCCTTTTACCTCCGAGAACTGCTTCATGCGCTGGAAGGGAGCAGGGGCAGCCAGAAGCTGCGCAGCATCATTTACTACAAACTTTCTCAGCTGCACAGCCGGTACAAGCAGTACGAGGAAGCCATCGGCTACATGGAGGAGGTTCTAGAGCTGAACACAAGTGCACAAGTGGCGGAAGACACCATTCACCACTTGGTTTTCCTCAGCTGGCTCTACATCCTCCATCAGCAGGACGACACGGCTCTGTGCATTTTAAGCGCCGTCGCAGAGTCCCCCTGGAGCACCCGCCAGCAGTTGGGCGTCATCCATAACATGGCGGCCATTAGTCTGAGACGGAGGAATCAGCCCAAGCGAGCTGCGGAGAGCTACTTCAGAGCACTTAGCCTTTCCAGAGAGACGGGCAGCGTGGTTAATGAGGCAGTGGCTTTGGCCAACCTGGGCATCTTGTGCCTGCACTCGTCTGCCCAAAGCCTCGGGGAGCATTTCTTGGTCAAAGCTATCCAGCTCTTCTCCGGGCTCCCCAGTGGAGAATGCGGGGGGAACTTTGTGGCCGTCCTCCTCCGGCTGGGGCACCACTATGCCCATGGGGCCCAGAAGGAGAAGGGGAGGAATTGCTATGAGTGGGCCTTTCTGGTGGCGATGGAACGCGAGGATGTGGAAGGTAAATTCATTTCCCAGGTTCCCAATTAGGATAAACGATGCCATGCAGCTTTTCCCCAGCTACCAAGGCGAAGGGCCCAGGGGAGCTAAGGTGGATCTCTTAGGGTTTGAGGGAGTCGATCAGGTTTCTTTTGTCCACTATTTCGAAGCAAGTCTGCTACCTTTGCTTCTCCCTCTGCTATGACCTGGAACCATCAAGGGACAGAAGATGCAGGAAGCTTCTGCCTCTGCCTCCTCCTCCTCCTCCTCCTCTTCCTCCCTATTCAATACCCCAATACTTTGCAAACTTTTCTCTGGATGATGGTTTGAGTAGGGCTCTGCATAGGGTAAGACTGAGTTTTACATGCCTTCTTCCTTCTTATGTTCAAAATTAAAATTTGCTTTTAAAAAATGGTGACCTTTCACGGGCTGCCTAGGACAACAGACAGGAAACCCCTAGAAGCCCGAACGCTCTTTGGGGATGCCCTAAGAAAGAGGACTTGCTGCCCACTCCTGTCGATGTGGTTCACTGCAAGGAAAGTGGTGGCCGCCTCCCACACGTAAAGGGCTGCTCTCCAGGCTGGTGAAAAGCTGGTGGGGGCCGAGGGCCTCTTGCTGTTGGAAGATTTTCCGGCATTAATGGGCCAAGCGCTCCTCCTTTCTAGGGCAACTCCAGGCTGTCCAGCATCTGTGTCATTTCCACAGCGCGGTTGTCCCAGATCCAGCTCAGTGTGTCTTCTACAACGAATATCAGCTCACCCTGGCGAAGAAAATGTCCGACAAGGTCATGGAAGGGCAGGTGCTAGAGACCCTCAGCCAGCTCTACCTGTCTCTGGGGACAGAAAGGTAGGCACTGCAACGCGGGAGCTTCCAGCAAAGAGGGCTCTGTCCCTTACAAAAGTGGCCCCCTGCAGGCAGGGGAGGCTCTCTTTCCCATGACAAAAGGCTACTTTACCCCAAGAACAGGCCGGCTCCTGATGCCTGGGATTAAAGTTTCCATCGCTGTGAGCCAGTTGACCTTGTCCTGTCCTGAACTCTACTGGACATGCTGCAGCCTTGTCCAGCCCTTCCCCTCAGCTGCTGCTGCTGCTGCAGGATGCTTGCCCTCTCTCCAAGGGTGGGTGGGGGTCCCTTCCCTTCTGTCGAGGGAAGGGACCCCCAGAACAGGCTTAGAAGGCCCAGATTCTGGTGCTGCAGGGAAAGCCCCGGAGGATCCTGGCCTGCCACCCGCTTTCTGAGCTTCATGACGAGCAGAATCTGGTGGAACTTTTCTAACTTCTCTCATCCCGAGAGCTCTGAGGGCTCCATTTTTATCCCTGCCTGGTGCAGGAACCATGCCAGGAAACAAAAACACGAACAACCCACCAGCTGGGAGAGGTTGGTTGGCTGCAGTTCTGCCTGGGGGCCTCTAGGGCTGGTGTGGATGATGCCACTATACACCTCGTCCCTTCTGTCCAAGTGGGGTTAGTCTGATCACAGCCTCCAAAAAGATTCTAACCAGAATGGTTTCCGCAGCTGATAAATAGATATCAATGGTGTATCTGAATAAAACATCAGATAATAGGGAGAATATCCCACAGTAGATAGAGCAAGTGGCTCAGGGCGGAGGAGCCTCCATAAGTTAGCAGGCTTTGTAATGGTGGTAGTGGGAGATTTGTACTTTCAGACTTGCAAGATTGATATATGCCTTCCAGGTAGACCGGACGGGAAACACGGCTGGATAAGCTAATTCTGCTTTATTGTAAAGCTACATCAACAGGATCGTTCAATTCTAAATGTACAATTCCCCCCTGTCACTCCCAAAGGTGCTTCCCCCCCCCAAAAAAAGAGGCACCTGGACTTTGGTTTCATGGGTTTTCTGCAGATGGCAGAAGGATCCAGAGTGGATTAAAATATAATCTGCTGACTGGTCCTTGGAGGTTTTGAGAACAATACAAGATCAGCCAGATAGCATTTCTCCTTCTCCTCCTTCTCCTTCTCCTACTCCAGGGCGTGCCGGTCTGCTCTGGACTACCTCAAGAGAAGCCTGGGGATATTCATTGATCTTCAGGCCAAAAATAAGGAGGCTCAGGCCTGGCTCCAGGCAGGAAGGATCTATTACGCCCTGCGGGAGAACGAACTAGTTGATGTTTACATACAGGTAAGAGGAATGAATCTAGGGAGGGTTAGGGTTCCTCAATTGTTTTAACTCAAAAAAGAAGAAGAAGAAGAAGAAGAAAAGATGCTAGTTTGGTTGTTTTTAAAATGACCCGCCTGACAATGAGGAGGTGGGCCTTCCAGCCATATACCTTGATGCCCTCTGAAACTCACTCGGTTTGCTTTTCTCAGGTAAATGTGCTTACAACTCATTTCCCCATATACCGCAATATATGAGAAAAGTAAACGTAGTAAATTCTTTTCTAATGAACAGAAATCTACACTATCTAGCTATATCTCCCTTTCACAATTTGTAATAGAGTGTTCCAGTGGGTGGGATTCGGGTTTTTTTTTTACTACCGGTTCTGTGGGCATGGCTTGGTGGGCGTAGCAGGGGAAGGATACTGGAAAATCTCCAGTCAGAATTGGTATTTGCCGGTTATCTGGACTACTCAAAATTTCCACTTCCGGTTCTCCAGAACTGGTCAGAACCTGCTGAATCTCATCACCTCTGGAGTGTTCCTCTTGTCCGAAGCGTCTATCGCTCCTTTAAATTCTATCCCTTCCCGTTGCAAGATGGCGTGTAAGGGTGCTTTTCCCCAGGCAGCCAGTTAGAGGTAGGGATCGGATTGCAGATCAGGTCCCACAGACTCCTGCGGAATCAGCCCTCCCACGGATTCTTCCGGATGCTCTTGCCTAGACCACCTTCTCTGGGGTGCCTTTAGCATTTTTGAGATGCCACCAAGCCTTGGCTGAAAGGGTGGAAAGTTTTGCGGCTGTGATTTGGGGTGATTCAAGAAGATCTTCTACATTTTCAGCAAAGGGGAAATGACCCAGTTCTTTTTCAAATGTAAAATGTGGCGTCAGAAGAAGAGGCGGCTGGTGGCAGTTCTAATTCCATAGGGCCTATTTATGGAACACTGGAAAAAGAAGAAAGTGGACTGAAGGAGCTTTTGGCTGCGTGGTGATTCTGTTTGAACTGTTCCTTTTGGTGTTGCTCTGTCTGCTAGAACCCTCCTTTCCTCCTAGGTGGCTCACAACACTGCTCTGAGTTCTCAGGACCCCAATTTAGAAATGGAAATGCTCGAAGCCTCGGGAGACATATTCTTCAACGGAGACTGGGAAAAGGAGCGAGCGGCGCCCTTCTACAGGGTGGGTATCCTCCTCCCACCCTTCGCCCAGGTCGTCCTTGGGCAGATAAGGCTGGGCGACGCCTTTGGGTGATGTTGCACTCCGCAAGACGGCCCTTTGTGTCCCACTCTTGTTTTAGGACAAGGCTCTGCCACTTGCCATGAAGGCCAAAAACGGCAGCGCTGAACTTCGCCTCTTCAACAAGTTGGTTGGGTTGTTCTTGACCTTACAGAAGTATGAAGAATGTCTCGGATACGCCCAGACGTCACTAATGCTCAGTGTCAATTTAGGTAAACCCGTCCAGGGCATTTCCCAAAACTGCTTCGGGAAGTCAATGGAGACTCTTGGTCATCCAGGCAAAGGCCTCCAAAGGATGAACCATGGCAACCGGACTGAATTTTTTGTTGGCTTCAGATGTTTTATTGCTCATCCAAGCAGCTTCATCAGTTAGAGCAAGTCATAAGGCAGAGTCTCGTTGGAATGTACCAACTCCTGCCACACCAACCTCTAAGGGCCTTTCACCCCAAAATGCATTGCAATATGCCAATTAAGTAATTCAGACAAAGGTGTCCGAAGGTTGAATCATGACTTCCAATGACTCCCTGTCTACCTGACTTGCTCTGGCCGACGAAGCTGCTTGGATGAGCAGTGAAACGTCTCCCGCTAATAAAAAAACCAGTCCAGTTGCCAGGATTGAACCTTCAGGGCCTTGGTGATGGTGATTCAAAATTGTAGAGAAAGAGACGTATCATTGGCCTTGTGTCACTGCAGATCACACAAATGCTTCCTAGGTGCACAGGATGGGAAAAGGAGGGCTGAGTCTGGTGACTGACGGCCTTGTCCAGGGAGTCTTCAGGGTGTGACCAACAAGGCCGATTTCATGGCCCCTGGGGTCCCGTCACAGCCGGCATCTCAGCACAAGCACAGGGCCACATCCTACATTAAAGGGACATTGAGGTTCTCCTGGTGGCCTATTTTGGGTCTGCTGTTCACTACCAAACCTGGTGAATCAGGACCATCCCTGGTCGGCTGCCTGCCACCTTCCCCTCCTTCATGGGTGGTTTTCTCTTGCCTTCTTGGCTAGGAGACCAGCTAAGTGAGCGCGTAGCCTACCACCGCCTGGCGGTCATCCACCATCACTTGGGGCAGTGTGAACTGGCCGAGCACTTCTTCCTCAAAGCCGTTTCCCTCTGCCCCTCCCCGCTGGAGTTTGACGAGGAAGCTCTCTATTACGTCAAAGTGTACCTTCTCCTGGGAGACATCACCTTCTATGACCTCAAGGTAAGAGAGGAACAAGTACCTGAAGGGGGGAAATCCCTTTGGCTTCAGCTGGTTGCGGCCTCTTTCCTTCGGAAGACCCAGGGGGGACAGAACAGAACAGGAGGAGGAGGAGCTGGGAGGGTTTCAAATAATCTATGCTAAGTGCGGCTTTTGTCAGGTTTCCCCTGAAATAAACTGGATTCTCTTACCAGAAAGGCCGCTCGCCAGAGGCCGGTCTGCACCTCCCAAGACCTGTAACTTTCCCTGTGTCTCTCTCCTTAATTTGATGAGGAGGCCTTGCGGATTTAGAGGACTTGGACCGTGACTGTTTCCCCCCCCCAGGGACTGCTGCCCCTGACTTCCCCTGTGTATCGGCCCCTTTTTGAAGAATTTGTGTAAAAAAAAAAGTGAGGCAACCAAGTTGCAGCTTTCAGGCCAGAGCCTCTTGCGCTCAAAGGTGCATAATGTTTTTGCACAAAGAAAAGGCTCCTAATTTGGGAATGGGCCACCCTCATTAAACAGATGCTTGTTCTTGCACAGCTATACAACCTCAACCCCCCACCCCCCCTCCTGCCTTCTTTGCAGGCTCAGGTAGCTTCTCCTCTGCCTGCCCCCTGCTCCGGAAGCCAGGAGAGAAGCCCTGCTTGTTATCACGCCCTTGACGCCCCAAACAGAAGTGAATTGTGGAGATTGGACTTGGGAAGAAACCACGGGAGAGAAGGAAGAAAGTGTGTGTGTGGGGGGGAGGGGCAGTCCTGAGGGGCTGGGATGGCTGGAGTGACCCCACGGCAGCAGATGAGGGGCAAGGCCAGGGGAACTATGGGGAGGGTCAGAGCATGGAGCGAAGCAGCTGCAGGCGGCAGCACAGAACCCACCCAACCGTCGCCTGCCCGCTTCCCGGCAGAGGGAGCCAGGGAGGGCAGGGGGACCACGAAAGGCACTCTGGTTTTTCTTGGCCCAGAATGAACTTTGCCACCATTGCCAAATCTCAGTGGCAGATATGGGTTTCTCTCTCTCTCTCTCTCTCTCTCTCTGAGTGTGTGTGTAAGGCTGTGTCTTTTTGTTCAAGCAAAAAATTGCAATGTTGAATTGGGAGGTAGGTCGCTGCTGCATTACTTTCGAAGGCGTCAACCTTGGCAAGGGCGTCCTTAATGAAAGTCTTTTCTGCCGTGACGGTGTATCTTTACTTGCTCTCGGGTTTTAGAGTTGGGGGAGCAGAGCCGCTCGTGGGAATAGCAAAGAGGGAGGCAGAACAGTTCGTGTCGATGGGTTGGAGAGCCCTGGCTCCCCTGCATGAGGCAATCTGCACTGTGATTGGTGGCTCTGGGTGTGGAGGGGGAGTTTCCCTTTTTTCCCGCCTTTTTTCTTCTGAGTGCCCTGCGGGCTTTGGGATTTACCTCAGGACGCTCCTCTTGGCCAGACTACCTGGTTGGCTATATAAGTATATATAGATGTAAAATATATATTTATATAAAACTACAAGTTTGTGTCAGTGTCTCTGACTTCGACAGCTGCCATTGCAAGGGTGCAATTCCCTGACATCCTTGTTGTTGTCCTAGACTTGACTTACCGACTGGCCTGTTTCCATTAAAAAACAAAAACAACCCTAATCGCAGCCCCTCTATTGCTTAATGTTTCAGGATCCTTTTGATGCTGCAGGATACTACAATCTGGCACTGGCTGCCGCCATGGACTTGGGAAACAAGAAAGCGCAACTGAAGATTTACACTAGACTTGCCATAATTTACCACAATTTTCTTATCGACCGAGAGATGTCTCTCTTCTTCTACCAGAAAGCCAGAGCCTTCGCCATGGAGCTAAATATTTGCAGAATCAACCTCTCTCCAGACCGGCCTCCCAGGAGGAAGGTCCTATGAGGCCTCTCCTCTGGACACCGGCTGGAGGGCCGGAGACGGACAGAGAGCAGCTCCCCCCCCCCCCCCCCCCCCGGCACCTGGGAACAAGAGCTTCCGTCCCTGCAGCCCTCAGCCTCTCCTCCTCCCTCCCCCCCATCCCCCCCCAAAATAAGGACAGTCAAGGAAAGGGCATCAGGGATGATCTCGGAAGGAGCTGGCTATGAAACCACCCAACAGTTGATGTCAGCGAACGGTGATCATGTTCAGATGAAAAGCATTTAGCTGAAAATAATAAACATGCTAAAACAATATACAAGCTGAAGCTTAACATTTTCTCATGCTCCAACTTTTAACATAGTTCCAGGTGTGTTTGGGAAATGGTGTTTGGAGTATGGATAGGTTACCTGAGGCAGCAACTGATGGGCCTACATAGGAAAAAGAGCGAAGTAATAATGTTCAGTGCGATACCCAGTTACAATCTGAGGATTTCACTGTCCCATCGAAGTCCGTTCAACATCCTTTTCAGCCGCTTGCATCCATGAAGGACTGCAGGGCGACTGGGGTCCCCAGGAGGCGTTCCGAAGGAAGAAGGATCAAAGGAACTGGGCCGTGGCCTAATCTTCAAGGTGGGTGAAAAAGAAAAGTTCCGATGTGTCTGGGCCATTCAAGAGAACCCGACGAGGCGTGAACGAGGAACTTGGGTGCCTTCCAGAACATTCCCTTTAGAGCAACTGTCACGGTCTGTTTCAGGACTATCCCTAGATGCTCTTCCCTGCAACTGAGCCAGTTACAGCGGATTCCTACGCTCTCACCCTGGAATAAATCCGACAGGAATGTCCTCACGCCAAGAGCAAGAAGGAACGGAAGCTCAGTGAAGGAAAGGCTGGGGGCCCAGTTCTTTGTACACCCAGGGGCCTCCTCACACTCCGCACAGAGTGACCAATTTGTGGAATGGTTGAACTCCGCCCTACCACGAACATTGCCGTGTTCTTGTTGCAGATGCCTTTTCTTTCAGATCTCACGGTGAGCCTTTACGTGTTTGTGAGACAATTTAGTTGTGTTTGTCAGCTGTGGTGAATTTGAATGGACATACTGAAAACAAACATCATTAGTATCTTTTTATTACTGTACAGGCATACATCTCTCTCTGTGGGAAACTGAGTCAACCAGGCCCAGGTTACCTTATAGGTGGAGGGAGCCGGAATCAAAAGGATGCGGCAGCCAGCCCATAATAGATCCCAGCTGAGCAAACGTGATTTCCTCAGTGGCTCCCTTCAGGGTTGGGTTCCAGCCCTGAGATTCGGTCATGTTAAGAACAGAAATGGGCCCCTTCCCTGATGCAGAGCAGAGGCCGGATTGAGGGTCCCAGCTCGGAAGGACCAGGCCTCACCAGCAGGAGGCGGGCTGGAGAAAGGAGGCGAAAGGTTTCCTCATCCGAAGGGGGGGGAGGGAGGGAGGGAGGGGGGGGGGGGGGGGACGTGCCGAGTCCGTGGCCAGGGTCTCTCCAGGTCCCCTTCCCCTCCCTCTGGAGACAGGCTGCTCCTCCCCAGCAGAGCCTGCCAGGCATTCAGAGCTTTCTCTCCAGCAGTGATTATCGTTTTAAAACCTTACAAACAGGTGGGGAATTAAAAAAGAAAGAAGGAAAAAAAAGACCGAGGTCTCAGAGGAAGTGAAATATGCCTTTCCTGTTTGCTACAGGATTGGGCTGCTACTTATTTCTCCTTCCGTGAGGAGACGGAACACTGACCTCAGATGCAAAATAATAACACAACTTAACTCAAACTTAAAAGCCTTTCCTGAAGAACAGGATGACGTTGATCTCATGGACCAAATGCAAATATTTAAAGGGACATCTACAAAAAAAAGCCGCTGGCTTTCAACATGGTCATTAATTTATGGACAGAAAGCTATTTTAACAGATGACTGTCCGAGAAGCAACTGGACCTTAAGTGTCAAGAATGCTGAACCGGCAGAGGAGGGATATTCTATCGTTTGGAAAGCGGACAAGGAGCCGGTCCAGGGAAGCTTCCATGGGGAGGCCCTGTGCTGCTCGGTGTCTTCTTTCACTTCCTTTAACATGATCCTTTCCCTCCTGTGATGAAGGTTCACTCGCCGCTCTTGACGGGCTTCCTTGTTTACATTCTGGACCTCAACTTGCCCACGACAGGCTTGTTGTTACAAAATTCTGACCACCAGGAAGGCCTTTCCAGGCTCTTGGGGCTCTGAAGAACCGCACCCCACAGATTTTTATATAGCTGGAGAAACGTCACAAAAAAACGAGAAAGGTTTTGGTCAAAGCAGCAGGTTTTGAGGGAAGGAAAAGGAAACTGGCCCCAGAGGTTGGGGTGCATTTCTGCAGTGCAATTCAGAAAGCAAGAAGATGGGCTAGAAGACGGGACCCACAAGGGGGGGGGGAAGGGGGGGGAGCCCCGCTTACCTCTCCATCCGCCTTCGCAATCGGGGAACTGAGGATAAAGTCGGGGGGGGCAATGACATCCACCAGAGCCACCGCTTCGTCCTTCAGCTAGGAGAGAGGGGGGCGTTGAGAAAGGGAAGGGGAGAGAAAGCGCCCATCGCGTTGGAGGAGTTCACGGCCACACAACGGCAGAAGGCCAGCAGAATTGGCCAGGCGGCTCGGTTTGGAAGCTGTGTCCCTACTTGCTTTGTTTCAGAGAACTTGGCTCACACATTTTCACGAAGGACACCAGGGTAATAACCCCAGACAGGGATCGCCAAAGACTCCCTTTAGAGTGGACCAGGGGAGCTTGAATTTGGGAAATGCAGCTCTGGGAGGCAGATGGGAAGTGGCCCCTCTTGTTCCTCTCGATCCTAATTTCCCCCTCGCTGCAGGGATCTGAACTGGCTGCACCTTGGTGGGAAGGGCAAGCCGGTTGCCTGCTTGGTCTGGAAAGGGAGGACATCGCCTGGGGCTGAGCACCGAAGCTAAACACGGGGAGGGTTCAGGATCGGAAGAGCTCCCCGCGTCTTCTCTTACATTGCAGGGGGGGGAGATCCTCATGCCTTGCACACTTAAAACACCCCCTGAAATCTGGTGTGATCGACACCCTTCCAAGAGCTCAATAGTCCCTCCTGAAACGCACCTTTGAACAAAGTTCCAGAATTGAATCCTGTATCAGTTTACCGGCATTTTCCCCGGACAGGTAGCCACCTGAAACGTAGTTAGAGCAACGACACGATCAGAATGAAACACTTCCAAGTTCCTGTTGGGTGCACAATATGCAGAAAGGATCCCCCAGATGGAGCAAAGGTGCTGAACTGAGGATCAACAAAGCTCCGGCGCTTTGCATTCCAGGCTTTCCTGACCACGAGGCAGGGAAACGGCACGACTGGGAAAGGGTCCCACATCCCACTGGGAAGGAAAAGGGGTAGGAGGGGATTCGGGAGGGAGCGGCTCTTCCTGGGTGGAGGGCAGGGCTGTCTCCTGTGCGCGGAGGAGGGCGAAAAGGGGTCCCGCTGAAAAGGAGTGGGGAGGAAATGCTCCCGCCCAGAGACAGGCAGCACCTGGGGACTTGCAAGGGGAGCCTCCGAGTGCGGAAGGGCCTGGACAGGCAGACCCGAGAGACACCGGCTCCTCTTCCCACAACTGCCTGGCCCCGCCAACACCGGGGGGGGGGAGGGGGGGAGAGGGGATACTGAATCCAAAGTGCTGCATGGCCTTCCTCAGTAGCCTGCTGAGGTAGGTGTGTATGGGTGTGTGTGTGTATGTATGTGTGTGTGTGTGTGTGAGGCCTGCGGAGGAGCAGTGTCTCTTAACAAGGGAATCCGGAGCATTCGGCAGCAACCAAGCCAGGCTTGCAAGTAGCAAGTCAAGTCTGCCGATTTTACTTAAGACTCCGCCTGGCCCTGATTTTTAAAGTTACTCAAGAGAAACGCACCACCCCTCTCTCGAAAAAGAGGCACGACTCAAAATCTAAAATGCAAAAGCAAAGAGGCTGAAATGGTCAGCCTGAAATGTATTTCGCCCTGATAGTAAATGGTACAATTTGGGCACTTTAATTTCCCAGCGGGTTAGCAGATAAGGCGACTTGTAAATGTTTTGCAAGAAAGGTATTCGTGGGTCATGGAGCTCCCCGGAAGACCTAAGGCCAAGCTCACCTTGGTAGAGTATTGCCGTGTGCTTATTCAAAGACCAGAGTCCATAGAGCGAACAAATACGCTTTAGTACCGGCTGGAGGTTAACTGGGGTGCTGGGACTGTGCACCTGTTTGTGGTACTTTTCCAACACCGTGTGCTCAATAAAAGCTATAGCTAAAGAACGGCAATAATACACCTGCGGTGGGAACAAAAGGCAAAGGGCACTTCAAGAGGAAGAGCAGATGCAAATCTAACAAGTTGCTTCTTCGCACACACCCCCACCCTCCAAGGGTCTCCGTGGGGTTAAAGTGAGCGGAGGCTGCTCCCCAAGAAACTCTCTGGAATTGGAAGCGGGCGTTACCTGGCTGTTGTTCTTGGCCTCAAACTCAGCACAGCCGCTTTCCTCCTGCTTCCTCAGTTTCTGGATGCTTCCTCGGAGCAAGTAACACACCAGCCACTTGTAGGCCCTCAAGGACGCTGGAGGAGGAAGGAATGGCAGCTGTTTTAGGCGTTCAGTCGGGCAATTCAAGGCGGGTAACGGGGACAGAGCGAGCAGCAATACGTGTCACGGACGTCCCCGGAGGCCTCAGGAGCATCGCCAGAAGCCAGGGCCATAATATCCGCCAAGTGGAACCTTTCTCCTTGCGTGCAGGTTGTAAAGACCAACAGATCCCAGGGGGAGGAGCCCATTTTCACAAACATTCGAGAGGTTCACACGAGGCACCAAGATGGGGGCTCTTCCTTTCAGGAGCCGGACTGTGAGTGTCTTCAAGCCGCCCTTCTGGTGACTCCCCTCGGGGCCCCCTCTAGCCCTCCCACCGGCCCCCTGGCTCAGGAGGGCCAGGCCGCCCAGACCGCTTCCAGCCCCAACAGCTGAGGAGCTGCCCGCCAGCGCAAGGACCACAGAGCAGGCGGGTCTCCTCTGGAACATTCCGTGACC